AGCCTTAACACGCAAATCTGGTTATCACCGGCAAAGTGCCGCAAAAGACTCGGAACTCTTTAGCGAGAAGATGAAAACCTGAAGAGAAGAGAACCTGAAAATGTCTGTGTCTGTCCGATAAGACGAATTTGATTTCGAGAGTGTTCCAATTCTTCTAGAACAGTATTTTCGGGTCCAATTGTTCTTTACAGGAGCTGGCCGCAAGGACACTCGAAACGAGTCAGCAAATTCGCAATGGACTTTTGCACAAAACACAGTTTCGTGTAATGCAGGTTTTGCTAAAGTTTCTATCTAGCGATATTTTTTGTTTCCTGAAAATTAATTCTTGTATTGGATATAGAATGTCGTAGCATGAAGATGCTACGACGCAGCGTGAATGATAAAGGATTATTTGCGCTTTAAAAAAAGAAGAATGTCACGTTTACGCGACTCCCAACATCTCTTCGAATCCGATTCGATGAATGAATCAGAAGGGATTCTCAGGTTCTGCACCACGATTAAGCGAGTAAAGTTTTCTTGTTATTTGATGTTGCGCGTCAAAATATACTTTTTCAGGAGAAAAATTACTGAAAATCTATGGTTTTCAGTATATTTGCTATCAATTTTTAGTAAAGAGAATGGTCAATCTTTTAGCTCTCTTCATTTTGTGGCATTTGAAATCCTAAATTATTTTTTGATAAAATTGTAGCTATTGATGAGTAAATTGAAGATATACAAAGTAATCCTTATAATTTCAGAGAAAATAGAAAGATACGCATTCTATCAAAATAAATGATATCGTTAGGACTCTTACGGGAAACGTAAGGAAATGGTGTAAGAAATAGAAACAATGAAAGTCTTTATCAATAAAATAATAATACAGATTTATAAGTGTTAATAATACCTATTAATTTAGGATGATTTTTAGCAAGCTCTCCGAATAACTTAATCATCGATTAATTTCGTTGTAGAGATAGCAGAAATGGATAATAGTTATTTGCCAATAGTCTAATCTAACGATTTATTATGACAGAATACATATTTTATTTTCTCCTTAAATAATGAGGCGCATTATTTTGATACTTGTATGTCTTTAATTTACTCGTGTAAATAGCTATAAAAAACAGCTTAAAATTTTGAATACCGCAAAATGGGTCTGAACATACTCTTTTCTTCAAAAAGAACACAATAATTTAATTCCGAACTTGTTTAAGCAGCTTCTTTGTTACGCGAAAAGCACGCTAAGCAACGATTAGCTTTAAAGCTCGTTATCGCAGGTTCTGAAATGGGGAGTATTCTCGCAAGATTCTCGTAGCTCGGTCAATTCGCACGTTCGTCGCCTAGAAACGTTCGGCAGGAAATTTCCATTCCGGTAGTTCGATCGGGCCGAAACGGCTCGGGGCCCCGACGTCGTCCTAGCACGAGTCTGCTCGGCGTAAAGGCCACGGGAAGAACCGAGGAGTGTCGGAGATTGCCGAGGCGGTTGCGCTGAGCATGAGCTACCCTCGGCAGCTCGCGACTGCTATGGCTATTGACCGAGCTTGGAAGACCGGCCGGTCAGCTGTGCGCTTCGCCGGCGGTGTGATATTCTGTTCCACGGCCAGGAAGAAACCGTCCACGGGTCGCAGACGGCGAGACGGTGGCCAGTCCGGCAGGGATTAGGACTGGTGTAGTCGCAACGAGCGTCGTGACGAAGCACCGGGACGAAGACGTGCGGCGAGTGAATGTGTCCGTCCAATTGGATCCGAGAAGCGGAGCAACGGAGAGTCCTCCAGAGGGAGAGATGGGCGATATTCTATGATCGGTGGTACTCGTAAACAGCATCGCCTCGACCAGAGGCTGGAGCAGCTGCAATCGCGCTTACATATATCTGCAAGTAGAACCGAAGAGAGACTGCCTGATCTCGTCGTCGGTGGATCGATTTGGGTGAAAGCCCAAAACTTGCTGTCCGCTCGCTACAGCCGTGGAAGATAGTCGCTTGGAGTAGGAGAGTAAACCAGACAGAGAACGGCAGTCAAGGAGGGCTAGAGAAGAAGCGGGAGGAAGAGAGGGAGGGAGAGAGGGAGGGAGAGAGAGAAAGAGAGAGGGCAGTACTGGCAGGCAGAAAGAGAGAAATAGATGGAGAGAGAGAGAGGAAGGCAGATTGGCCCACGGGCAATACTCGACATGTAGAGACTGGCTGTGTGCACGGCCAGCGCGGTGACGATCGCGTTGAAGAGAACGAGCCAACAGCAACGAGATTCGGAGAGTGACTACGACGACGACGACGACGACGACGACGACAACGACAGCAACAACAACAACAACAACAACAACAACAACAACGACGACGACGACGACGACGGCGACGACGACGACGACGACGACGACGACGACAACGACGACGACGACGACGACGTTGTCGGAAGAAGACAGAATAGAGGGGCAAAAAGAGAGGGGGAGAAACACAGAGAAAGAGAGAGAAAGACAGAGGAGACAGAGATGGAAAAGACGACGGATAAATAGGTGTCGTATACATATGTGTGAAGAGTGACGCGTGTGCTGCCGCGACGTGTGCAGGTGTACGCGTGGTGCGGGCCGCTGGTGCAAAAAGTGCAGTGCCCAGTGGACTTTTCCATACCGGAGAAGCTGCGTGCGTGCGTGCGTGCGTACGTACGTACGTGCGTACGTGCGTGCGTGTCTGTCTGCCTGTCTGCCTGCCTGCCTGCCTACCTGCCTGCCAATCTACGTGTGCCTGCGTGCGTGAGAGTGCGTGCGCCGCCTTCGCGATCGCAAACGAACACACCGGCGAATTTTCGGCCGAGTACCTGTGGCGAACGAGGATCGACCGGTCGGCACACTCCTCTCTTCTCGAGGTCTACGTGGCCCCGTGAGAGAGTCAGGCGAGAGACGGAGCATCCGAAAGGGATGCTGTCACGATTTCGTAGGGTGCGTGCGTCAGGTACGAGGAAAGAGAGGGATAGAGATCACCCCAGAGGGTGATCAGCCGCGGCACTGACGTTGGCGAGAACACCTTACGTAGACGGCTTACTGGGTGGAAGCGGCCAACTCGTTGGTACAGGGAGAGGAGGTAATAGGATCGCTCGCCACCGAGGTCTACCTTGCCGACTGAGGCAGAGAGAGAGGAGGTGGGAGAAGAGAGAGGAGGGGACAGTGGGAGAGGGAGCGAGAAAGTAGAGAGAGAGAGAGAGAGAACGAATGAACGAACCTGGTACACACACACGGACTCCGACTTGGCTGACTCGCTGTCGGTAAAGCGTCGAAACAGCGGTGATCCGGCGAGACACGGGCGTCCGCGAGCACTCGCGGAGACGCAGCGGCAGTCGCGGCCTTCTGGTGGACGTGATAAGGACGAGCCGCGCGATTCGTTCCGACGAGCGAATCGGCGGCCGCGGAGTGCGAGAAAGAAGACGTTGCTACGGGAGGAAGAAACGAAGAAGAACCGATCAGCGGTACCGCGCCGACGAGGATACAGTCGTCTGATCGAGAATCCCGGCGCTACGTGCTGCGATCGTTATCGCACCAGCACCTACGAGACCTGGAAGACAAGTCGGTAAAGATAGAGAGTCACGGACAGGAGGAATAACAGTGGTCACGGGAGTAGACGGATCGGGTCCTTGATCAATAATCCAGTCCTACGTGAGCTTAATCACGCTCGACAGTGGAGAGCCGGCAAGACAGCAAAAAGGAAGAAAGAAAAGAAGAGAGGTATATTAGCGTCCTTGATGGGCCATCCGGCGCTACGCGATCGAGTTGTATCGTCGACATTGGCACGGCTTCGTCATATCGCCGGAGATTAGAGGCGAGCATATTTTAGCGACCGCTCATTCGGCAGACAACGCGACGAAGCAACCAAGAGCGACGCAGAGAGAGAGAGAGAGAGAGAGAGAGAGAGAAAGAGAGAGAGAGGACCCTACTTGCTGATGAGCGCGAACCCGCGCGATAAGCAGCTCGCGTCTCGAGTTGACGAGCCGCTGACTCGACGGACACGGGAGCCGGTTGTTTCAACGCTATTAGTGGCCGCGATGACTCCAATTATTCGCGAGTGACCGCTACGTCCAATTCTGTCGTCCATTTCGGCAATTTTCGATATCCCGGCTGGATCGTGCCGGCTTCACTGGAATTTATCGACTCGCACGTGCAACGTGTCGACAATTCCCTGGACACTGCGAGGAAACTCCATTTCCGCCGGGGACCTGGACTCTGGCGACAGTGGACAGTGATCGACGGCGACTCGGGAGTCGATCAAGAAGCCGTGAGATCAGGCGCATCACGGACCCACCTGACTCGACACACTATCGCTAATTGCCCCATGGACGAACCGTCGCTTCGCATGGATTAATCCGCCGAGGACGAGCCGGAATAATCCCGAACGATCGGCTCCTCCTCGACTTCAGCCCGGATTACTCCCGATCGCGCTCGATAAGCCACGAGGATCTTTCTACGGTTCACGTTTGCGCGGGGCTACGTTGAAAATCGTTCGGTGTCGTTGCTTGACAAAACCGGTTTCGTTCGGCTCGGCGAATCTCGGCGTTTATACAAAGGTCGTGTGTGAGAGCGCGCCGCGCGCGACTACGAGCGAGTGGTAGGAGTGAGATTTATGGAAAACGAATTTACACGAGGTCACACCCACGGGAGCGGCTCTCTCTCTCCCCCCCTCCCCCTCTGTCACTCTCTTCTCTCTCCTCTCTGCACTCCTACATCTGTCTTCTTCTGGCTTCGGTCTCTCTTTCTCTCTCTCTCTCTCTCTCTCTCTCTCTCTCTCTCTCTCTCT